ACCCCCCCCCCCCCACTCTTGTGAGGATAAAGCGGATCGGAAAATGGATTGATGGAAAGCAACCACGATGAGGTCCATCCAGTGGTCAAAGTGTAGGACTACAACATTGTTGTTCAACGTTGCTTTTCAGTTCTTGACAAAAATGCTGGGAGGTTACTGTTGCTTTGCCACTCGTTTTTGTCAACCTCTATCTCAGATTTTAGCGTAATCGAATGAGAATTGACTAAATTAAGCTTCAATAAAGTTTTCTGAATCTGAATCAATAGATTTAATATCTACAAAGAGTATACCGTTGGAAAGGGAGACGTACTTTGCTGTATACTGCTAATGTGAATTTTTCAGTTAGCTAATATTTTTCTGACTTTTTTTTCACACGCCCATATTTGATATTTGAACAGGCATTTTTACTTAAAACTCCAAAAGGCTAATTAATTGTTACTTTTTTCATTCTCCGCACAACATAGAATGGACTCGGGCGTCTTCGGGCCCGCGGGCCAAATATGACCCGGCTCTTACTGGCCTGCGAAGAGTTGCTTGGAATTAAGAAAATAAAAGTTACAGTACTTTCAAAATGTTGGTTAATGCGTATTGGGTTGCTCTTTACAGTATGTAACTGACAGTAACACCTCATTTTTATTTTTGGAACTAAATATGTTGAATTTTGGACTGTTTAACTTAATAGTGTTGAATCAGTACGTCTACTTTTTTTTTTCTGCACAAATACAGCATCAGTGCGGATATTTTTGCGAGCTCGGCGAATCAACCATTTTTATAACGCGTGACACCTAGAATTACACCAAAATGGTTACCGTGTGTCCTCTTTTGCTTCATGTTCGTGACAGATGAGCACACAACATTTTATCCTGCGGCTGGAGGATCAACAGAAAGTGTTCCTGACTTTCACATGCTTGTTCCAACTTTCCAGTGGGCAGTGCAGGGAATTTACGTCATGAGCTCTCTCAGACGTCACCATGGAAATTTTTGGCCCAGTCTTCATCAGCAACCACAATTGGAGGTACTCCTGACCTGCACAATCTAATTAAATCCAAGACAAGGGTTTGCATTTGCATGTTATAGATGCACATCTACTATAAAATGTATTTCTGATATTCCGTCACCTCTCCTGTAGTTAAAGACAACCACATGATGTACAGTGTTCAGGTTGACAAATTTAATGTAAATGCATATTTTTCCAAAGCTGGGACAATTGTCATAAAACGGCAACTCTCAAAATATTGACAATGACACGTTAATATAATCTCATGAATATCCTGGCTTGGATGTTACTTCAAAATCTATTGTGTGTTACTTGAACAGGGGGACAGTGCGTTTACTTCCCTCCTTCCTTCATTCTTATATTCGAACATCAATAGGGCTCGTCTAGTGACATCACAGTCAGTCATCGAGTACAGGGGTCAGCAACCCAAAATGTTGAAATAGCCATATAGGACAAAAAAAACAAAAAACAAATATGTCTGGAGCCACAAAAAAAAAAAAAAGCTTGTTGTGTGTTCACAAACGCCACCATAGAATTTATTTGGTGATTTCCTCGCTTGATTTTTTGATTTCGATTTCCTCGCTTGATTTTTTTTGTTTTGGTGCATTATTTTCGCTTTTCTTCGTGTCAGTGAAGTGATCATGAATTTCCGTGTATCAGAGGCTGTCTTTGAATGCATCTCGATTTTAACTAGAAGAGAGAAGGCACGGAGTCGGACGCAGACGTGTCTGTTTGTTGAGACTGTTAAAAGCAAAAATAAAGTGTACGTTTTAAAAAACCAAAACCATAGCTCTCCTTTTTTGGAGCTGCAACATGTATCTATATCTATTTGAGCTATATTAGCCGACTATCAAAATCTTTTTCCATTTTCAAACATTTTTTTTTATAAAGCTCCAGGAAGCCACTAGAGGTCGCTAAAGAGCGCCGACCTAGTAGCTTGCTGAAAGAAAACCTCCAAGGGAAAAAAAAATTCTCACGTTTCGTCATGGTCGGAGAAAGTCCCTCTTTCCCCCAGTCTTACTCTGTAGTTGTATGTCAGTAATGATGATGTCATGGCTCACAGCCTTACACATGTCGTAAATAGTCAGCGCTGCTATGGAGACCGCAGTCAAAGCCTCCATCTCGACACCTGTCCTGCCAGTGGTGCGACATGTTGCCGAGACGACCACAGCGTTGCGCTGCTCGTCCAGGTCCAGGGTGACTGAGGTGCAGTCTAAAGGGAGCGGGTGACAGAGCGGGATGAGGGCCGAGGTCTGTTTGGAGCCCATGATGCCGGCCAACTGGGCCACTGCCATGGCATTGCCTTTAGCCAGCTGGTTTGTCTGCAGCAGCCCAAAGGCAATGGGGCCCAAGAGGACGGTGGCGCGGGCCTTGGCTGTTCGACGTGTTGGGGTTTTACTGCCAACATCCACCATCCTTGCTCGGCCTTGGGCGTCTGTGTGCGTCAGGCGGGCTTCTGGGGTACCGTCCAGGTGAGGGCCACCTGGATCACTCGCAGACTGTGGGATGTGGGGATCTTGGCTGGAAGTGTCGTTGTGATATTGTCTCACGCTGTGTTGCGTACAGATGACTTTGGCCTTCATGAGTAAGTGTCCGGGTAGATGTCTAAGACGATCATTTGTTTGGGGTTTGTAATTCACAGTGTTGGTGTGATAATGGGGGGCAGTTTGACCGTCCTTGAAGTCATACAAGTGCTGTTCTACTTTGATAAAGGGTTCTGTCTGTTTCTTTACATTGAGATGACAGCTGCCACTCACTTCGTTTGTTGAGCAGCGATCATTGTCTGCCCGTGCTGAAGAAGTGCGGTCTCGAAGGCACATAAGGTTTGCGCTATTAACGACTCGTTTTCCACTTGGCTGGCACATAGGAGGAGATATTTTTTGAATACGCTGAGTGACAATGTGGAAACACTTGAGCTTGTCTTTGGAAGAATGTAATTGGGAAGTGCTTCCTGGAACATAAGGCACAACAGAGTGTCATTCAAGGGATACCCTTCAATAAAAAGTGTCGACTGGGTTCTACATTAACTGTGGCCCGGGTCTACTACGCGACTGCATTGGGCAAGCCCAAGTTTACTGATGCTGGTCGGACTAGGCAAGTACAAATTATATACCGTATTTTCCGCACTAAAAGGCGCACCTAAAAGCCTTCCATTTTCTTAAAAGCTCACAGCGCACCTTAAAATACTATGCACCTTTTGTTTGGTCATTACGGTAATATGTCAACCCCAAAATGGCTCCTTGCTAGAGACATGCTTACAACGCAGAGTTCAAACTTCAGGCGATCGGGTTACGCAGTCGAACACGCAAATAGAGCAGCGGCAAGAGAGTTCAACGTTAATGAGTCAATGTTATAACTTGCTGTTGGTTCAGTGAACTGTGTCGCTGCTTTATTAAATAAGTTTTACTGACATCTGATCGGCGCTATATAAATCAGGGTGTAGTGTACTGTCGTGTTCTGTTGGCATTTCCTTGAGCACAGCTCCATCTAGTGGATGCATTGTAGATTGTGTGTTATAATGCTCAATACATGAAAAAAATTACAAAATACTGTAGGCCATTCATTGAAGGTGCGCCTCATAATCCAGTGCGCTTTTTAGTGTAAAAAATACGGTACATAAAAACGCCGAAATCAACAAATCTTGCTTTTAATATTTAAATGTCAATACAAATTGATAAGTCATCATTGATCTTTTTACCGCACAGCATACCTTTTGTGGCGCATCAGGTTAAATCCTTCCCTAAGGAATGGCTTGAACAAGATAATGTATCAAGACCAGAAAATGTTTATACTGCAACAAAAACCCATTACGTGCGCAAAAAGTGACTACACATTAGTAATATTTTATAAAGTCTCAAATAATGCAGGACGAAGGCGCTGAATAGGAAATAATCGTTGAAACACATCATTTTGTATCATGAAAATACTGGACGGGTGCTGCTTCAGGCATGGCCACCACAACATGTCACATGCTAGCTCAAAGGAGCCACCACACGAAATGGCTTAGTGTGGAACCCTGGCCTACCAAAGTTTCGTGTGCATTACTGCTTGCCTTGGACTCTGGAAGATCCAATACAAAAGCGAAAGCAGGAATTCACAAAGAATAAACATAAATGAAATTTTTGACTGACACCGACAGGTCTTAATTTAAAAATGTGTTTCATTATTGTGGTTGCAATTGCAGTGGTGTGACACTGCACAAACATCACACTGAGAGCAGTATTTAAAAAATATTTTGGGACCACAACAGAGCTAAATCTTGAGAAAAACATCTCATTGGCGTTTATTATTTTTGTAAAAGCAGAATATTTGACCCCGCTCTTGTAGTGGATCTTATGAGATTGTGGAGCTGTACCTAATGTTATGACTGGTAAGTGAGTCATTGATTCAAATGGCCAGAACCTGCTAAAGGTCAATAGGTTGGAAGGTGTGACCCAATTTTTTTTTGTTCACGACAGACGAGTGTGAGAGTTTGTACGTACAGCAGCAGTATCACCCACCGATGAGGATCATAGGTCTGTTCTTCATTTGGGAGATACTGAACATGCCTGGAAAGCCATCACTCTGTTAACACTGCGACAAGAGCAGAAATGAAAAGCAAAGCCCTTCAAACGCAAAATCTTACCTGCGTGTTGTTTCTTCTTCCTGCCCACAGCGGCGCCAATTATTTGCAGCAAGTCTTCATCTGAGGCTCCGGAGCGCAACACATCTCTGAGGGACACTTCAGAGTTACCGAACAAACACACCTGAGGACACAAGGGAGGCGTATTTTAGTGTATGGCAGAAACACATCAAAACACATGCACGCAGTTTTTACCTTGAGGTTGCCGTCTGCGGTGATGCGTAAGCGGTTACACGAGCCACAGAAATGGTCAGACATGGAGGTGATGAAGCCAACCTGTCCTTTAAAGCCCGGCACTCTGAATGTCTGTTGAAACACGCACATCAAAGTTAAATGTAAAGCATCATTGGAAAACAACAGCACACATTTGTTGACAGTTGTTTGATAATTATTCGGAAGAACTTTATTTTTTTTTACGCACATGGCAGCACGGTATGAGAGTGGTTCAAGATGTATGGCTCACGGTTTTAAGGTTCAGTGTTTTCATCACAGCATGTGCTTCAAGGTTCAACATGAATGGTGGTGTCGGGCCACAAGCTACCTTTAGACGGTGACCCAAAGGGCCAATAAGGATTTCTCAGCTGCCAGAAATCGCCGAAACGTCCAATTTTTGTTCCAAACTGAATTATTTATTTTACAAAAATAACCTGGCAGGAACAGGATTTTGTGGGGTTAAAAGAAAAAAAAAAAAAAAAAAAAACATGACCGGTACACGCTGAACTAGATAAAGGGGCTTGAATTAGGATTAGTCTTATGTCTCTAGCTTCGGCTAGCCCGATCACCACTAGCCTTAGTAAATTCCTATCAGTGGCAGTGGGAGCACTGAATAAAACAAAGAGGGCAGTGATACAAACTGATGCTTTGTCGCCAAATTATTAGGTCCAATAATGCATGGAGAACAACTGTTTTTATATATATATATATATAGAGAGAGAGAGAGAGAGAGAGAGAGAGAGAGAGAGAGAGAGAGAGAGAGAGAGAGAGAGAGAGAGAGAGAGAGAGAGAGAGAGAGAGAGAGGGCGGGGCGGTCTCCATACATCGGAAAAATTAACATTTCTACTTGCTGAACTGACCATCAGGACGATTTAAATTTGTTGGTCTTTATTCAAAAATATTATCTGCCTTATGTGAACTATAAAGAAATAGATTTTACAACCATATATGAATGGAATGTATTTCTCCTTCACATGGAGACTGATGGGAAATGCTGTATTTATATAAACCCAATTCTAATGAAGTTGGGACATGAAAAATGGTTTTGTAATTCACTTTGAACTAAACAAAAAAATGTATCCGCTTATTCATTAATTGATTGAATAATCTTTGATAAAAATATTGGATTGTGACTGCCGTTTTTTTTTCTGTCTGTATGCAAAATGAGGGTAAGACCTACAGAAAATGGAAGGAAGGATGATTATGTCTATTACTAGTGCTTGTTCTCAATATCAGCTGATTTAGTAGCTGTTTTTTTATTTTTAATTCTTCGATCTCTCCAGTTTTCCAGTAAACCATTCCGTTCCATTCACCAGATGGAAGTAAAAAAAAAAAAAAAAAAATAATAATAATAATAATAAATAAATAAATAAATACATCGAAATCATGACTTGAAGATAGACCTTTGCTGTGTCTGAGTGTCCAGTTTGAAGCGATTCCAAGTCGGGCCACTGCTGTCTGATATGATCCAACATCTCCTGGTAGCTCACCATCTTCTTAAAGTTCCATTTGTTGCCTGCCCACAGAAGACACACACAGTTGAGTTCTTGTCGGAATGGCACCGCCGAACCAGCCATTGTACTACATGCCCTTGTCCACTTGATTTTCAAGAAAAATGAAATAAGACAAGCTCAATAGATCATTGATTTTTTTTTTTTTTTTTTTTTTACATACACAGTATAGTTTCACCTTGTTTGAGTGTTTCGGTCGATCATGAACGTGCTGACTAACTATTAGGTGATCAGGAATTTTGGGGCCTATCACCGATCGGCGTTAAAAAAAAAAAAAAAGACACTAACCGATCACAGAACCAGTCACAAGATGGAGCAGTCTATTTATTTACTGTACATTTATTTAATTTATTTAAAAAGGGACAGCGCCTATGGATGAACATTTGCATGTAAATATTATATATTGTTATACATGTAAATACAGGGTGTTCCAAAAGTCTTGGGCACATTTGAAGTCCCCATATCTCCTTAACTATGAATGGTAGTAAGATAAAAGTTGTGCCAATTTAAAGCTAATTACATCAAGTTTTTGGTCAGGCTATTGATTTCTTTTCGGAGCCATTAATGGTGTTCACTCAACCAGAAAAGGCGTTTTGTGTGCTTGTTTTGCAAAAACTGAATCATGGACTGTTGTTCAACATGCAGTTCGCAGAAAAGTTCGGAAAGGAGCCACCAGAGAGGAAGTCCAGAGTGAGTTGGCATGGTAAATTCATAACGGATGGGTGCTTATGCCCAGCTAAAAGAGCGGGACGCCCCTCAACTTCAGAAGCTGTGATTGAACAAGTTCGAACTGCTTTCCAGCGGAGCCCCCGTAAATCGATCAGAAGAGCCAGTAGGGAACACACCATGCGATTTCTTTTTGGGGGGATTTGTGAAAGGATTGGTCTATGTGCCCCCTATTCCAAGAGACGTGGATGAGCTGAAGGCACGAATAACAGAAGCTGTTGCAACCATTGACAATGCAATGCTGGGACGCGTTTGGCAAGAATCGGCTTGATGTGTGTCGTGTGACCAATGGTGCTCACATTGAACATCTTTGAACATTCCATGTAAAAATTGAGATTACAAACTTTCTGAATTTACCAGATGCGTTTTTATATCCTTAATAGTTTCCGAGATATTCAATGTCAAAATGTGCCCAAGACTTTTGGAACACCCTGGATTATAGATTATAGCTCTTGGGTTTGTTTTTCTGTCGTTCCTTGGCAGGTTGATGTAACATTTAAGTGTACTTGTGTACTATTTACTGAACATCAACAGATGTATTTTCATGCATTTTTTGCCAATGTTTAGCAATCTTTGGAGAGGAAAAGGGGGGATGGGGAAAACAAGGAGTATGATGAAGAATATAAAACATGTATTCATTAACAAATGAACAGAACTGGATTTTTAATCATGATGTAGCTGCTTAGAAAAAAAGTTCAACTAAATACTTTTGCTGGAACCTTTTTGAAATGATTTTGTGGATGTCTGTATGATAACCTCAGCATGGCAAAATGTGGGATGCTGATGTTGGATCATACTCTTAAACTATTGATGGACGTGGGACGTTACGAAGCGAGGTCGTTATATTAATATTGACAGCTGCATATTTATCTTTATTTGCTTCACAAAGATAATTTATGCAACTTTAAACTGTATAACTGTAGACACTTGGGTTACACTCTGAAATACGCATGGGAAAAAAAATAAAAGAACACCAAATCACTCGCCATGCACGTGGCCGGTTTGCTTCGCATGAAAGTCTTTGCAGCATAATCCAAAACTTATAAGAGCCTAACGATTATTTGTAGGCTTTGCCCAAGGTGGAGTAGAGTTTCCAAATGAAAATACACACAAAGTCAACAAAAACAGCAGTGAGTGTCTTGTGACAGTGATAAGACGGTCATTACGCCTGCTAGAGTGATGTGGAGGATTCGGTATTGTCTGAGCTATTGATATCTCTGATACTACTATGATTTTTTTTTTCCAAACTTGTATAGTGATACTTTTGGAGACACTGTATTTACAGTATCGTAGCAGAAAGGAAAGCGGTAAGGGTATCGATTAGCAGATTCACACATGCTGCATTGCGGCATCTCCGTGCAGCAATTATAGTAGATAAAACACTTGCATACTGAAAGTTAGCGCCAAACTCTCTGAGTCGCTGCCAAAATTCATTTATGGCAGCCCGCCACAGGTAAATGTATATGTGGCAAACACTGCGGCTGTAAATTTCTAATTTCACGTAGTCATTGATTGATCGGCAAATTAAGACATTATGTTATGTCGTATGTTTTGTTTTATGTGACCTGGCAAGGGACTACAAATGTAAATTAGCTGTACGCTAACTTGGGCTATTTACACAGGTATTGTACCGGTGTTCATTAATGTGCCTTGTCCCTTTCAAATAAACAATAAAACTGTTAAAATAAATAAATAAAATGGGTGGCACAGCGATCGACTGGTTAACATGTCCACCTTTCAGTGCAGAGGTCCTGAGTTCGATTCCGGTCTACAGCCTCCCTGTGTGGAGTTTGCATGTTCTCCCCGTGCCTGCATTGGTTTTCTCTGGGTTCTCCAATTTCCACCCACATTCCAAAAACATGCATGGTAGGCTGATTGAACACTCTAAATTGTCCCAAGGTGTGAGTGTGAGCACGGATGGTTGATCGTCTGTGTGCCCTGCGATTGGCTGGCAACCAGTTCAGGGTGTACCCCGCCTACTGCATGCCCGCGACACTTGTGAGGATAAGTGGATCAGAAAATGGATGGGTGGTTGGATGAACTAAAATGCAAAAACATCAGGCGATCCAATCTAGCCGTCTACTAACCATCAAATGGCATGTACTCAATGAACTAAAATGCAAAAACATCGGATGATCCAATCCAGCCGTCTACTAACCATCAAATGGCATGTACTCAATGAAGCGCACTTCCAGGGGCTTCTTCTCGGTAAGACCAACAAAATCAAGCAGTTCGTCTTCGTTGAGGCCTCGCATGACCACACAGTTGACCTACAGCATGTAGCAAACAAGAACAGACAGCAGTTAAACGCCCATCCAAAGTTGCCACCTGTCCCGTAAATTACGGAAAATTCCTTGAATTGGGAATTAAATGACGCATCCCGTTTTATGTGTTGTGTTGTATTATTTTGTCGTTTTGTGGTAAGTGTTCTTTTGATGGCGGCGCGGGCACCCGCAGCGGCTCCTATTGTCGTCTGTTGTCTGTTTAAGAGGGAGGAAATTTCACATTTGACAATAAAGTTGTACTTGATACTTGATACTTGTATTGAACCAACACCGGATGC